GCTTGCAGGACTCCAGTTTATTTTAGAAACAAAAAGGGAAAATGGCATATGTGCACACAGCAACAGGTGATGATGGGGAGGAGGCTGGGTTTTTAGGCTGTCCTGAGAACGGCCCCCATCCTGGAGGCATTTCAAAGAAGATGCTCACCTGTCTGAGGCGTTCAGCACCAGGGACAGCTCACCGGACCACCGGACGCCTCAGAAAGCGGCCAGTGTCCAGCGTTTCTGGGTTGATGCCTTTTGAACAACAGCAGGTAGAAAAATCTGATCAGAACGGTCGAGACAACTCTGCTCTTCTTTCATATGCTACATGACCATCTACCCATCGGGAAAACTCACCCATGATCCAATATGGCCGCTTTCAAGATGGCGGACATGTTCTCACCCTTTACCTGCTGGGGGTTCAGATATCTCATTTTCTCTTTATTTTTTTTTTAATTTTCTTAAAAGTGTCCTGTGACTTTTGACAAACACTGTCTTTTTCCCCCCCCCCAACAAACTCTGTTTAAAAGACACAGTTGGTTGTATCTTTGTTTGAAAGTTTGAAAATAAAGTCAACTGTGGGTTAATTTGAATGTCTGTAAACACATATATATATATATAAAAATATATAAATAATAAATATACAAAAAAAAAATATATATATGTATAAATATTAAACTATGGTCTAAAAAAAATTCAATATCCAATATTAATTGAATAAATGGGCCAGTATGCTTACTATCTTGTTTAAAGGTATACACACACACAGACATATATATAAAATAAAATAAATTTAAAATAAAATAAAATATATATATATATATGTATATTCTTTTTATTTATTTATTTATTTTATTTGATGAATGTGTTATAATTGTGGACATCTTTAGTTGGTATTTGTTTTTTTACGTGTATTATTTATTCATTATTAATTATAGTTACTACTATGCATTATGCACTTTTGATTCTATGACAAATTTCCCCTATATATATATATAAATAAAACACCTAGATTTATACACATATATCCATATATATCTACATATGCTGTGTGTGAGTGTCTGTGTGTGCTGAAGTGAGCGGCAGACGTGTGGTGAGCTGTACAGCACACGGCGTTACATTGGGAAACCTGAGAAATTTCCATCTCATGGGGGGTGGGAACCTAGAAAAGAGCTCAGGTTCTCCCTGAGCTGATAAACCGGCCACTTAGCTGCAGCTGCCCACGCTGCCTCCACATCTGCCCGGACCTCCACATCTGCCCGGACCTCCACATCTGCCCGGACCTCCACACTCCCCTGTACACTGTAAGTACACAATGTGTGTGATCATGGGAAGATATATCTCAACCATAAGGTTGAGTGTTCATGAGTTTAAGAAAAAAAAAACTGTTCTGTTTAATATAATACTATTTTCTATCAAAACGTGGAGATGTAGGAATATATGTACATACCTGGAGATTAATTTGACCTCTCACATCACTTTGACGTCTGCACTTCAGCTTTTCTGTTGAATATGTTGAGTTATTAAGAACTAATAAATACAGATATATACAGATAGCCTATATAGATATATGTTCAATTATCACTAGAGAAAAACATGTTTTCCATGATTTACCTGAGTTAATGATTTAAACTTAGAGTACATTCATACTAAAATCTTACTCCATTTACATGTTTTTGGCTTAACTGAGTATAATAATATTTACTTTAGTTTATTATTTATTAAAATCAAGGTAGAATTTTCGTGTAAAAAAAGGCACAGATGTCATTTATCGTAAATTTGAATATAATTACATAAAGTAGAATTTAATATGATCACAAAAAGCTTGAACCGAAACCCATCAACTCCATTTTTATCTAAAAAAAACGTCACAATCGCCGTGACTCATGCAAATAAATCCTCGATCTCTATTCAACACTCCCTCAAGTGTTGTGAAAGACCCTCCCACCGGTTTTTGTGAATGGGCCGCCCTTTGATGACACCCACAGAGGCTCAGCAGGAAAATATCTGTCACACGTGCACTAAGCTGTGTTATAAAATGGGGATCGTAGTCAGCTGACCCCTGCAACAACAGACCAGGAAGCAGAAGTGAAAACTGTTTCGTTTCCATGGAAAGTATGATTTAACGCGCTGACTTTTAGGGCCCGAGCCGGACTCCGATGCAGAATTAGAAACTGGGCTGTAGATGTAAAGGTGGTGTGAAAAAATAGAAGATAAATGAGAAGTAATAAAGTCCCAGACTTCTTTAGTTAGAGTTCACAGAAAGTACAGAAAAGGAACTAGCAAACAGACCGGATGCTAAACACCTTCTCTTTGCACTCTAAAGCTCAAAGAGACGCCATAAAAAACAGAAAATCTAAAAAATATTTGAACAAAAAACGCACTCAAAAGGAGTGGATGACCAGACAAAGTTCAAACAAGGCAGACAAAACACTATGAGCAAAGTATCAAATCAAGTAAACAAGACGATTAACAAAGTATTAAATCAAAATCTCTCGTGACGAGGAAAAAACAAAACTGTTAATAAAGTGCAAAATCAAAATCGCTCTTACGAGGCGTGAACGAAAGGACGAAAACACACTGGCCCAGTCTTTGGACACAGCCAGAGACTTTAACACAAGGTTATGATTCTATAAGGAATACGACAATCAGTAATTTACATAGATCTGTCACAACGTGGCTCTCAGGGAGGACTCAGTTGCGGAGGAGAGGTTCAAAAGGGTTTTAATGAAGAAAAAACGCACTCAAAAGGGGTGGATGACCAGACAAAGTTCAAACAAGGCAGACAAAACTATGAACAAAGTATTAAATCAAGTAAACAGGACTATGGACAAAGCATTAAATCAAAATCTCTTGTGATGAGGCAAAAACAAAACTGTTGAATAAAGTGCAAAATCAAATGGCAAAAACAAGACTGTGACAAAGTACAAAATCAAAATCTCTCTTATGAGGCGAGGCAAGAAACGAAAGGACGAAAACACACTGGCCCAGGACAGACAAGGGGAAACGAGGACTATTTAAACACCTGAGGGAAGGGACCCCCAGGTGAGCACAACAGGTGATAAAGGAAAACCCGACAACACACCAGAGATTCCCCCTAGATGTGACAAGATGGTTCCAGGTTTCTCTGCATTGACCTGTGACCACGGGGCGTGACTCACCCGGTTCTCTGTGATGCCTCACCCGGGGGCGGGACGGGAACTGTGACGCCATCCAAACTGCCCTTAAAGCGGTTTGGACAGGAGGCGGAGGGCAGAGCAGTCTGGCCATCTGCAGAGTAAAGAGTCTGTGGTCCAAAGCCTCCAGCCGCTATTCCTCTGGTTTAAGAGCATCTGGATTAAGGCTGTAAAGCCCGATGCAAGAAAAATAGCAAGAATATTGGATTTTTTTTTAGTCTGAAGTCTTTCATTGGCCCTTCAATAACATATGAAGAAAAAAAAATGAAATTATTTTGATCAAATTAGCGTGCAACAAGTCAAAAATATATTTTGGTGTAGTCTTCTACTGGCTGTTATCATCTGTCCAGGCTTTTGAGAGGTCAAAAAAGTTTCGAAAAGGGCTTAAAAAGCTTGTTTTGGTTTATTCTCATGGTATTTAGACTAGTTTTCAGACAGTCAGACAGTAGTTTTCACTCCTGGAAGGGGAACCAACCGGACATTTTCATTACTCGTCTGTCCCCTCTGTCCAGGTAAGGGAAAGCTGGAGGCTTTTGAGAGGTCAAAAAAGCTTAGAAAAGGGCTTTAAAAGCTTGTTTTGGTTTATTATCATGTTATTTAGACAGTAGTTTTCATTCCTGGAAGGGGAACCAATCGGACATTTTCATTACCGTTTGTCCCCTCTGTCCAGTTAACCTTTCAAAGCCTGATCCAAGAAAAATAGGAAGAATATTGGATTTTTTTAGTCTGAAGTCTTTCTTTGGCCCCTCAACAACATATGAAGAAAAAAAAACAGAAATTATTTTGATCAAATTAGCGTGCGATAAGTCAGAAATATATGTTGGTGTAGTCTTCTACTGGCTGTTATCAGGTGTATCTGAATGTGTACAACAGGGGTTTGAGCAAAGCTTTTACCACTGAATGATGCAAAAAGTCTCAGATCCAAAAGACTTCAGAAACCGTATGAATCAGATATGATACATTTGGCATTATAGGGTTAATCCTGCCCTCCTGTTCCAGGTCTTCTCCATCATGGCCGGCTTGGCGCTGATGTCTGCTGTTCTCCTCCTGGCCGGCGCTCGTGGAAAACCTGCTCTAACGTCTCAGCCGATGGAAGGTCAGCATCCCTTAGTCTGGTCCTCAGACCTCAGAGACTCTAACGTTCTTTCTTGTTTTGTGCCTCCTTGGTCATTTCTAATGTTAACCTGATTATTTAGTTGGAAACCTGAGAATAAACCAGATCAAAAGTATAAAAAAATTACATTTAATGGGCCTCCTCAAAGGAGGACTGGACACAACCAAGTCCTATTGGCCAGTTACCTCTGGGCAGGAACAGGCCAGGTCCTAATGCATGCAGATGACAGGAATGTGGTAACAAATGGTGTGTGTGTGTGTGTGTTGACCTAAAGGTGGATCTAATGCAACAGAGAAAGAAAAGAGAGTCTGTGGACACAACCAGAGACTTCAACACAAAATATAGTTATAAAAATAATAAAACAATCCGTAATTTGACATTGATTGTGGTATATCATAATATGCTAAAATGGGTAACTTTAGCCAAATTCTAACACTAATGTTTGATGGATGGAGTGATGAAAATAGAAAGTAAATAATTTGTAAGTTGGGTGCCTTTTTGAAATGGGTCCTCCCATTATATCGATGATGTTATAGTTTTAATGTATATGCGTTACCTTGTTCTGTTATATTTCTTGTTTGTGCTCCAAACCATGTATATGGTCATGAGCAATTAAATCAAATAATTGAAATTGAATTGAACGGATCTTAATCGGACTCGGTTTTCCGGGTGTTTTTCCCTCTACAGGCGGCTGTGTGGATGTGGATTCAGAGACGAACGTTTACAGGATGGAGGGGGAGGCCGTCATCCTCCACTTCCCCATCCTGATGTCCATCATCGCCTACCGGAAAATGGCCGCTCAGACGGCCATGTTTCTCATCAGCAAGAGGAACGGGACGGAGGAGGAGGAGACTTTCCGGGGGGGGGGACGCGTCCAGCAGCGGGAGAAACAGCTGTGGCTCCTCCCGGCCCAGACCTCCGACTCCGGGGAATACACCTGCACCTACAGGTAGCTATCCCAGTCTAAATACCACGAGAATAAACCAAAACGAGCTTTTTAAGCCCTTTTCGAGGCTTTTTTGACCTCTCAAAAGCCTTCAGCTTTCCTTTACCTGGACAGAGGGGACGGACGGGTAATGAAAATGTCCGGTTGGTTCCTCTTCCAGGAGTTAAAACTACTGTCTGACTGTCTGAAATATAGTCTAAATACCATGAAAATAAAGCAAAACAAGCTTTTTAGGCCCTTTTCGAGGCTTTTCTGACCTCTCAAAAGTCTTCAGCTTTCCTTTACCTGGACAGAGGGGACAGACGGGCAATGGAGTGAAAATTACTGTCTGAAAACTACTGTCTAAATACCATGAAAATAAACCAAAACAAGCTTTTTAAGACCTTTTCGAGGCTTTTCTGACCTCTCAAAAGTCTTCAGCTTTCCTTTAACCCTATAATGCCAAATGTATCATGTCTGATTCATACGGTTTCTGAAATCTTTTGGATCTGAGACTTTTGGCATCATTCAGTGGTAAAAGCTTTGCTCAAACCCCTGTTCTAAACATTCAGATATACCTGATAACAGCCAGTAGAAGACTACACCAAAATAGATTTTTGACTTATTGCACGCTAATTTGATCAAAATAATTTATTTTTTGTTTTCCTTCATATGTTGTTGAGGGGCCAAAGAAAGACTTCAGACTAAAAAAATCCAATATTCTTCCTATTTTACTTGGATCAGGCTTTCAATGGTTAACTGGACAGAGGGGTAATGAAAATGTCCGGTTGGTTCCCCTTCCAGGAGTTAAAACTACTGTCTAAATACCATGAGAATAAACCAAAACGAGCTTTTTAAGCCCTTTTCGAGGCTTTTCTGACCTCTCAAAAGCCTCCAGCTTTCCTTTACCTGGAAAGATGAAAAGGTCCGATTGGTTCCCCTTCCAGGAGTTAAAACTACTGTCTAAATACCATGAGAATAAACCAAAACAAGCTTTTTAAGCCCTTTTCGCGGTTTCTGTGACCTCTCAAAAGTCTTCAGCTTTCCTTTACCTGGAAAGATGAAAATGTCCGGTTGGTTCCCCTTCCAGGAAAGAAAACTAGTCTAAATACTAATTACATAAACCAAAACAAGATTTTTAAGCCATTTTCGAGGCTTTTTTGACCTCTCAAAAGCCTTCGGCTTTCCTTTAACTGGACAGATGGGACAGACAGTAGTGAAATTGTCCGATTGGTTCCCCTTCCAGGAGTTAAAACTACTTTCCGACTGTCTGAAAACTAGTCTAAATACCATGGGAATAAACCAAAACAAGCTTTCCCTATAATGCCAAATGTATCATATCTGATTCATACGGTTTCTGAAGTGTTTTGGATCTGAGACTTTTTGCATCATTCAGTGGTAAAAGCTTTGCTCAAACCCCTGTTGTACACATTCAGATATACCTGATAACAGCCAATAGAAAATCTCAAAAGCCTTCAGCTTTCCTTTACCTGAACGGTAATAAAATTGTCCGGTTTGTTCCCCCTCCAGGAGTGAGAGCGGCTGTCTGCGGGGGACCGTGAGGCTGCGGGTGTTCGACTCGTCCTCGGTGGACCTGAGGAAGCTGGTGGTGAACTGGCCGGTCAGCGTTGGGGAGGAGGTGTCCTTCACCTGTCCGCACCTGGGCTGCTTCAACGCCAGCGCGGCGCCCGTGGACTGGTTTAAGGACTCGGCGGGCGCCGCCCTGCCGCTGGGCGGGGGGGGTGGCGCCCCCTACGGGGACGGGGGGGCCCTGGTCATCCCGGCGGCCCGCCCCCCCCACGCCGGCCTCTACACCTGCAGGCTCACCGTGATGGTGGACGGGCGGCCGTACCGGGTCAGCCGCGCCTACATGCTCCACGTGGAAGGTGGGTGATGGAGCCCGACCCGGTTCTGACCCTTTATGGGGTCCACTGGCCCAGTTTTGACCCTTTATAAGGCCCCTGGCTGGGAGCCTGACCCGGTTCTGACCCTTTATGGGGTCTCTTGGTCGGGAGCCTTACCCAGTTCTGACC